TTTTTTTTTTTTACTTTGGCTGAGCACAGCACAAAGCTTCTCTTTTCTCCCTTCTCTTTCAGTTATTTGCCTTACATTTATTCCTATTTTACTTTCTTTCTTCCCAGTACAACTAGCTATTCTAATATCCCATTTTTATTTTCTGGAAGGAGGGAGGAAGATGATTGTAAGTGATAATCTATGTAAGAGAGTGGTCAGTGTCTTTATAGGCAGGTGAAAAATCAATCTTGCGAATGGATCCCTTGTTTTATAGATGACTCATTTTATGCGATAGTGTTAATTCAATTGATTTAACAAGCCCTGCCCCAGAACTGTTTCAGATTAATGTGTATTTGCAGACCTATTAATATGCACACACATATGCAAATATGTCAAATGCAAACATCTGTTGGGGGAAGAAGTCTTCAGAACTGATTTTCAGCTACATCTACCCATTTTAAATTAGTAAGATTGGGAATCTGTGCATGTCACAGGATTGGTTTTGCTGGTTTTCTCTTATCTTTCTTTATTTGACAGATACTCTAACATGCAGGACTGACTGATTATGTGTCATTAAGTTGGTGTGGACTCTTAGCAACCACCTTGATGTTCTCCATAAGGATGTATCCCTAACCTGGTCCAATCCATCCACTTTACCGCTGCCAATTCTCTTCAATTTCCTTTCATCTTCCCCAGTATTATGGTTTTAGCCAAAGGCTACAATTTCACATAATGTGTTTTAAGTAGGATTAATTGAGCCTGACCATTTATGCCTTGAACAAGGAAGCTGGATCCTCTTGATTTCAAGGGTCAGTTCTGTCAACTTCCAGACTATACCTTTGTAACTAAGGCGTTTTCAACCATCTAATTAGAAAAAAATTACTGTATATTCTGTTTACATCATTTGTCCGTTTTGACAAGCACCGTGTCCTAAGGTTTATGGATAGGAAGATTTTTCTGAACATCTATAATTTGCTTTTTAAATGGAAAGGAATTGATCTTGGGATCTTCTGCTCTATGATTAAAATTAGAATACTTCCAGATATCTATTTTTTTTTTGTGAATAAGCATTCTGTGCCATTCATGGAATTCAATATACTGCCTTATGTTTTCTACTTCTTTTGTCTTCTTGCCATAAGGAAGGGGAAGTCCGACTACCTGCACAATCCTTTTGATTGTGAGCATTAAGAATCCTCCCTCTAAATCAGTGGTTCTCAACCTTTTTAATGCCGTGACCCCCAACCAGTCATAAGTTGAGAACTACCCAACCAGTCGTAAGTTGAGGACTACCCAACCAGTCGTAAGTTGAGGACTACCCAACCGGTTGTAAGTCGAGGACTTTTCCTGCCCGGGAGCGCCACGCATGCGTGGTGCCACCCCCTGCGCTGGCCGAGGCATAGCTGGCAAGGGGCAGCAACGGCGCAGGACAATCACCGGCTGGGCCACCAGCTGGCCCAGCCCAAGGGAGGTAAGGCACCCGCCGGGCCCCACACGGGAGTAGCACAGCTAAAGAAAAGGGGAAAAAATGGCGGACTGTGTTGTTTGGTGACCCCCGTGAAATGGTCGTTTGACCCCAAATGGGGTCGCGACCCACAGGTTGAGAACCGCTGCTCTAAATGGAGTTCAGGGTGGTCTGCCACATTATAATACGCAATGGACCTGAATGCTTCTATAAATCTTTATACTTAGGACTTAGGAGGTTCTTTTGAACTCCCAAATTATAACTCTCTGCCTCTTTTCTCCTCTGTCACACAAATATATGCATGCATACAAATTCAAACAAATAGGTGGTTTCCAGTCAGGCCTTTTGTGGATCCCAGAAATAGGAAACTATTTATTTATCAAATTTATGTAGCTTCCCATCTCACACAACATGACTGTGGGTGGCTTACAATACTGTCTGAAATTTCCACATTCCAGGCGTTTACATTATTCTTGCTGCAAAACTCTGCACATTCAAATAAGGTAGTTTTTGCAGTCCTATGCTATAAGCTCAGTGTTCAATGGCTATATTTGCTTTGCTGCTAGTTTGACTATAGATTCACTTCCATGAAAAAGTTAATATGATTCCAGTGTTTCTGGTTAGCTGTTATTACCTTCCTTCCTTCCTTCCTTCCTTCCTTCCTTTTTCCTTAACCATTTTGTTTTTTGAAAAAACACCTCTAATATCTATCAATAAGTTACATTTTATTTTGACACACAATTCTGTACCTGTCTGGTTGCAGCTCTTCAATATTGTTTACTCAGGTAAAAAAAGAGACAGTGACAGGATTAGCCTAAAACCAGATCTAGATATCAAGTGGGAGAATCCTCCAGCAACCCCATCACTTCTTTCTCTATCTGGTCCAAAAGCTGCTTTGTGGGAGAGTGATGCACTTAGACCACAGGCCCATTCTCAGAATTCAAAATCTCTCCAGTGCTTGAAAGAAGTATGTACAAACCCCCACTCCGTACCTATTCACGCGGGAAAAAATTGGCCAGAGTTTTCACACCTTATAAGCATCTGTCACACACACACACACACAATTGTTCTATTGCGACTCCCTCCCCCCCCTCCCCCGTCGATCATGCACCACAAAGCATGACTGGGGTGGTGGTATTATCCCTCTCCTCCACTCCGCTCCCTTTTTTCCCGCTCTTCCAACTTTCGACACAGGTAATCCGTTTTGCGGGCGAGAGTCATCTGCCCCAAGGAGGACCAGGTTGCCCTCTCCGCTCGTATAGACGCTGTACCAAGCCAGCTGCAATTTTTCTCTTTCGAGAGGGCTGGAGGCGGCAGCGGCGGCGACAGCTGCAACGCCCCCGCTTCCCATTCTGTTGCGCACGCACGAGCCCGCGTTGCTCACCCACATTCCTCGCGACCGGGTTGGGGGAGTGGGGAGGGAAGAAGGAGAGGAAACGCGGGGTGTTGGGAGCGCAGACTGGACCGCCACAAGCGGGAATCCCGCATCTCCTCCCCTCCCTCCCAAAGACCCTTCCGTAGCTCTGGTGGCGCGCCTGCCCCGCGGCCCTCCGGAAGATGCACCCTGGGAGAGCGCTCGCCTGTGCTGCCGCGCACGGCTGGGGGCCGGAGCCTGGAGTCCCCACCTCTTTCGGCCTCAGACTCCGCCCCGAAAGCTGGCGACGGCGAGTCCAGCTCGCGAACCGACGAGGTTGAGCTGGGAAGGGAGGCTAGCGGTGGGCGGACGGGTTTCTTCGCCTTCCTGCCTTTCCTTCGCGGGGCGATTGTTTTGATCGGCTCCGAAGCGGGAGGCTGAGCTGAGGAAAGGGTGGAAAAGGCGGGCTGCGCTGCAGCCAGGGAGACCCTCCAGCTTGCAGGCAATGGTCCACCCTCGCTGCCTTGCTCGTCCCCTCTTTCCCCCCCTGGCTTTGAAGCTTTTGTTCTCTCCAGTTCGGGGCACGAGGGAGCTACCTGCCGCGGTCGCCGCTGCCGCCGCTTCTCCTTCCCGGCGTCAGGAAAGTTCGAGGAGAAAACCGCCTCGGGTCCGACCTCCTTTGGGCTGCGGCACCTTCAGTTTGGTGAGGTTAAACCTCGGGCGGGGCGAGGGTGAAGGGAAAAGGAAGAAGGTCTAGGCAGGAGCGGCGGGACGAGCAGGCGACAAAGGGGAGCTTGGGAAGGGGAGAAAAGGGGTCTCCAGCAAAAGCTTGCTCTTTTCGATTGGAGTGGGATTAAGGGGGGACTCGCTTCTCTGCGAGCACTTCGGTCTACTTTTCTTCCGGAGTTGAGGTTCACGTCTCCTGTTTGGGTTGGAGGAAGGTGGGGCAGTGTAGATTAGTTACCCTTTAAGACTGTAAGAGATATAACACACACACACAACACACACACACACAGTGTAGATTAGTTACCCCTTAAGACTGTAAGAGATATAACACACACACACACACACACACACACACACACACACACACACACACACACACACACAGTGTAGATTAGTTACCCCTTAAGACTGTAAGAGATATAACACACACACACACACACACACACACACACACACACACACACACACACACACACACACACACACACACACACGAAAGTTGAGATTTTAAGCCCTCTAGTGATTTTGAAAAGGTGATGAACGAAGGACTGGAGCAGGTCCGGAATGCGAGGTAGGCAATCGTGTAATTGCGATGCCTACGCCGAGTGCTTTAAAAGCGGGCAGCGCTGTTAGTGATCCGGATTCCTAAATTCCCAAACTGATTTCTACATGCGAGGTTTTGCTGCTCCTGGCATCTCTCGACTTGCCCAAGAGCTACCTGTGGCTAAACGTCAGTGAAGTTAAATTCTATGATTTGACGTGTCCGGGGCTTACGGCTAGCTTCCACAACTAAGCTATGGTTGTGGGGGAACCTACCCTGCCTGTAATTAGGCTGTATTAAACGGCAGTGGTCGTTTGGTTATCGCGAGTAATGAATAAAGTGTGTGCGCGCACGCGTGCACGTGTGCTTTTTGTAAAAAAGTCAGTGTTAGCAAGTTAAAAGGCATTTAAGTAGAAAGTATCACTATTGTCTGGTAAAAATGTGTTTATTATTTCTGTGCCTATTCTGTGCTGGTGAACTGAGAATTGAGGAATGAAACAGTATTAACGGGTTCTTGTAAAAAATGCTAGGATTAGTTTTTTTTTGTTTTTTTTAAAAAGCTTTCAAATTTCAAGAAGTTGTATTGGCTACAGAAATCTCTCATCTCTGGAAAAAATGGCAGGCTTGATCACATTTTAAAAGTTTTAAAAATTTATATCTAATTTCTTTCAAGAATCCTATGTTCCAGAAGTTTTGGTAAAAGAGTAGGGATGCAACCAGAGCTAACAATTGTTTCATTAACCCTTTCCTCCCTGTTGGCACCTACTTTGCTATTAAGAATTGTAACTATACAATCTGAATAACAAAATATGATATATTTTCATATATATATATATATATATATATATATATATAGAGAGAGAGAGAGAGAGAGAGAGAGAGAGAGAGAGAGAGAGAGAGAGAGAGAGAGAGAGAATAAATAAATCACCTAGAATTTCAGGTTCGTATATAGTAGTCTTTCCTAGCCTGAGCTTCTCAAGATGTGTTTGATTATTATTTACACTTCAGTCGCTTGAAGACATGCAGACTTCAACTCCCAGAATTCCCCAGCCAACAATGCAGGAATGCAGCCAGCATCCTAGGAATGCAGGGAATAGTAGTTTGCTATACCTGAAGAGTATCAGATTGGCAAAAGTTAGAGGGCTGCCTGTTGTCTTCCTGACAAAAAAAATAAAGCAATAACCCAAATTCAAATTTTCACCATCTCTTGATTATTCCTTATCACAATTTTCTTGTCTTCTCTTTATTCTGAACTAGTTCAGATGAATTATGCATGACTGGAAGTTTATAGTGTTAGCCAGTGTCTATACATATTAGTTTGGAAGTCAGATCACTGGGACATTTGGGAAGGGGATAGTCTATTTAACCACACATCTCTAGGCTGCCATGAGTACACAAATATCTCTGTTCCCAGACCTGTTTCTGAGACACAACATTTCTCACCAGCTTTATCAGAATATATTTAAAGTTTAAAGAATATGAGCCTGGATAGGTTTATTTAGGATGGCAGAAGATTGTCAAATTAGCTCCTCTAGAGAAGTGAGTAAGATACTAGACAAAATCATTTAGTTTTCTTGTTAAAAATAGCTTTCTTCTTGGGTTTTTTTAAAAAACTCTTTAGTCTGGTCTACACCCTTGAGATTTCCTTTTCCTCAGAGAGATACTGCCCAGTCCAACCCTGCTTAGCTTTTCTTAGATAGCAGATGGCAGAACCTAGTCCAATTCAGCTATGACAAATTAGATCATAAATGTGAGCTTTTTAAAAGCATCCATACACATTGCTTAAATAAATTTGTAGCTTTTGTTCATGGTGGAATCACACAAATGTCATCTATCATTTTGGGAGTCATGCTACTACAAAGTTTAAGAATTGCTGGTTATTATTAGATTTCATATCCTTTAGTCTTCATTTTTACAAGTCATCAATGTGGTGTGTATAATGTTCTGTCTGCTTTTTTTCCGTACAACAATCCTGGAGGTAGGCTGAGTTGAGAGAGAGTAATAACTGTGTTAAAGACATCCAGCAGACTTCCATGCTGAAAGGTTTGGAAATTCTGGTGTCTCGGTTTCTAGTTCAGCATCTTAACTACTATAATAAATTGACTCTCATGAAGTGTGCACACGTACATTAAAATGTCTTCTTCCTGTCCTGCTAGCTTGGGAGTCTCAATGCTGGAAAAAAATCCACAAAATAAATTCTAAGATGACATTGTATAAATAAGGTCTGTGTTCTACATACACCTGAAAAAAGATTCTATTGTGGGATGTAATTAATTTAATCTCATTGATTTAATATTTAATTCATTTCTGTTCCAATCAAATTTGTGCAGGCTAAAATATTTGTAGTAGTAAAGCAGTGATCCAAAGGTGGAATGACAAAGGGAGAAAGGATTATTTTTTAACTTTCATGTTTACTTTAAATACAAGTATTTAACTAATGGATTAAGTTGGTGGAAGAATAAACCACAGGAATGACTTTTCAAAGGCTTAGGACATATAAGCTAGTTCAAATAATTTATCTTCTTAAGAAGTTACCATCCTTTTTCTAAAAATCCATCATGAAACATGTAGCAAGGCATATGGATCTTATTAGAAACATTTGGATTTTAGAGAGAATAGATCTTCGAAGAGGAGATGGAATTCTTTCAAATGAGAATAAAAATTAAAATATTTATATTCTCCTTTTAGAATACTATTTAGAAGAGGATTTATTTAGAAGAATATTATTTTGATCAGTTTTCATCTAGCTGATTTCAGAAAGCATCAGTTTGAGTAAGCTGCCAAATATTTTACATCTTTTAAAGGGTCTTCATATTGTTGTTTATATTTTATTGTTGTACTATTCTTGTTGGGATGAATTATATTTGTTTCACACATGTTTGTTCTAATCCAATTCATTGAATAAGCCAGAGTATCTTGGTTAATACAACATTATCAAAAATCGTGGTTTACAAACCACAGTGGTTTGGCCCATTTGTTACATTATGCTGGAAAAAACATATAGTGGCTTAACATTATATGAGCACAGCCTATAGCAATTAAATCTGCTTCACTTTTTTCTTCCTTGAAAGGAGGACAAAATCTGCAGAAATATTAAATCTATCACCAAAATGAGCCGAGGTGGCGCAGCAGTTAGAGTGCAGTACTGCAGGCCACTTTAGCTGACTGTGTTCAGCAGGTCAGCGGTTCAAATCTCACCGGCTCAAGGTTGACTCAGCCTTCCATCCTTCCGAGGTAGGTAAAATGAGGACCCAGATTGTTGGGGGCAATGTAAATATATATATATAATATATATATATATATATATATATATATATATATATATATACACATTGCTTACTGGTGTACACCGCTTAGAGAGTGCTTGCACTTAAAGCGGTATATAAGTCTCATAAATAAATAAATAAATTTATCTTTAAAATCCCCAGCATCAAATGGGTTTTTTGCTACATATTATAAGACTTTCCAAGAAATTATGATTACATTTTAGCACAAGTAATGAATGAGATCGAACAATGCCAGATGCAATCCTTCTATATACTCTGGGCAAGTTGGATTGTTTCCTTTTTTGTAAATCAAAGAAATGAAGGCTTCTTGCCATGAGGAAGGATTTATCGGGCACTGTTGAATTTCATTCATTACTTGACCTTTCTAATATGCAACGGATAATATCAAATGTATTTTGAATACTATTAATAATATAAGAAAAATACAATGATTTTTCTGGAGATAGAGAAAATCTTTTGAGAAGAAAAGTAGACCTGGCCTTGGGAATGGGGAAGGAAGGAAGGAATCATGATGGGAGTAGTTTGAGAAGAGATTATTTAGAATTAATTATTTAGACCTAAGAGCATGACAGTGAAATCCCAAATAGCTTCCCATTCCTTGATTGTTTGGGATAAGATGGGGTAGAGAGAAATTGTATCAGACCTTCAAGATTCTGAAATTCTACCCTACAACAGTAAACAGTACTGTAATTCCTGCTCTGACTTTTTCTTGACCTCATCTGTCTCAAAGGCTGAAACTTTGAAATTTTGGGTGGCCTTTTATATTCACAATTCTGAGGGAGATGAATTGAAGTTTGAATTTCTTACTCGAGTATTTATAAAGAATAAGAAACTAAAATAATGGTCAATTGACTTTATTTTTACAAAAATGCATTAGAACAAAGGAGATATCTTCTTCCTTATTTATCTTGGCACTATAGCCCATTCATGAGAAAGTTATGACAAGAAAATAAAGTGTCAGGAATCAAACCGGCAAATCGAATAGAAACTAATGGTGTAACTAACACTTACTCATCCAAAGGTTTCCTTAGAATCAATAATGGAATATATATACAGCAATACAGTTTTGTATGAAATTGGTCTAATAAGAACAAGACTCAAATACTTCCATGGAATTTAACTCAAGAATATAACAGGTATTCCTGTTAAACCAATTAAGTACAGGTAGTCCTCTACTTACGACCACAGTTGGGCCCAATATTTCTGTTGCTAAGTGAGACATTTGTTTTTCAGAAGGTCGCAAAAGGGAATCACATGATCCCAGGACACTGTGACCGTCATAAATATGAATCAGTTGCCAAGCATCTGAATTTTGATTATGTGATCATGAGGATGCCACAATGGACATAAGTGTGAAAAATGGTCATAATTCCCTTATTTCAGTGCCATTGTAACTTCAAACAGTCACTGAACAAACTGTTATAAGTTGAGGACTACCTGTATCTGGGAATTTATACAAACCAATAAAGACCAATTGATAAAAATATTCATGGACTTGGAAAAATATAATGACAGATATTTTAAAATGGTGAAAATTAAAATTATCCTTGTTAGGAAAAATAACAGCAGTAAAATGAATATATTACCAGATTCAATGTTCTATTTCAGATAATCCTGATAAGAATTGAAAGCATGGTATTGGCAGAAACAAATAACTATATAGTCAAAAGGAAGACCAAGGACTAACCTTAAGATTTTATAAGACTTAAAAGAATAGGATAGACTGTCAGAATTAAATTTAAACTCTACGATCAGCCCATAACATGGATCACAGATTGGATTAAATCACATTACAGAGGGTTATTTTTGGTGAGGCAGCAGTATTCCCAGACAGTTTGTGTAAATATATTTGTCTTTGATAGAAATAGAAATGCACAATTCTTATGGGCTGCTAGACCTAATTCTTAATAAAATGAAAATGAAACATTTTAAATTCTTGCTTCAGAATTATAAGAATTACCTTACTATTTTCAATATCTTAAACAGTATAATTCAAAAGAAATTATAAAAATAGAATGGAATACTTGGATACCTGACTGAATTTGAAAAACATGTAACACAAAATTCAGAACACTTGTTGTATCTTACTTATAAATTGTTATTGAAACACAACTCAGAAGTTAAACAAGTTAAACTATATAATTAAATGGATGCAGAATTTAAACAGGACAGTAATACACAACAATGCATATCTCAATAGAAGACAACTGTTAAATCCGCCAGGATTGTTACATCTAGAGCAGCGGTTCTCAACCTGTGGGTCGCCACCCCATTTGGGGTCGAACGACCATTTCACGGGGGGTCGCCAAATAACGCAGTCCGCCATTTTTTCCCCCTTTTCCTTAGCTGTGCTACTCCCTTTTATTCTATTGGCTTTTGAAAGCCAATAGAATAGACTCTCTTAAATAGAGTCTAATTCTATTGGCTTTCAAAAGCCAATAGGAATTGTCCAGGCTGTCTCTGCCCTGCTGAGCCCGCCAAAAGCCCCAGTCTGCAAGTCCTCGACTTACGACCGGTTGGGTAGTCCTCGACTTACGACTGGTTGGGGTCGCAGCATTAAAAAGGTTGAGAACCAGTGATCTAGAGAAAACTGATACGTTTTACTGTGAGTGTATTTTCTAAGTAATGATTGTCAAAATTCTAAAAATCCTTGGAAATCCAATAATCGGGTCTGATCGTTCATGTCTGATAGCAGTGTTGTAAAGAAAATTCTGGAAGATGATTTATTATAGAATGAAACAAAAGTTAAAGGTTGATTTTTCTTTCCTGCCAGTTAAGTTTCTGTTAAGCTTTAGTAAACCTTTCTTCCTATAAGTATATATTGAATAAGCTAGGTATATGATAATGGCTGCCAGGACATTTTATTCTTTTTATTGGAAATCATACATCATTCTTTCTTAGAATTACAAATTAAACTCTGGGAGTATATATCAATATCAAAAAACTTTGTTTCTGCTTGAATCATTACATAAGATTTTTTTAAGTTTGATAGAACATTTTCTTAATAGTTCATTCTTATATTGTCCCTTTGGTTAATTATTGAATATTAATTTTATTTTAATAATTTTAAAATTTTAAATTAATACTAAAAAACCTCTAATATATGGTATTGTCATCTTGACATTTTATTTTTTATTGCTTGAAAATATATTTTTGATTATTTAATATTTTTCCCATTTTTTCTGTATGTCTTCTTGGTAGTGTTTTAAATATCCATTAAAATAAATAATAAAATGAATAAACTAAAATTGAGTTAAAAAAAAAAGCAGCCTCCAAGAGGTCTATTCTGAATGAGATATATAGTACATAGGGCTGAAATTCAGAGATTACCATCTTTTGTTTTGGCATTTCTTTTTTAAAAAATAGATTTCTGTACCATATGTAAAAATGTGACCTGCCTCTGGGTTCAGATTAAAAGTTTTGATATGTATGTTCTTTCCTTTTTTCTTGTTTGCTTTCTGAGAGGTGGGATGCAAAGTATGGCATATATATTAAATCTCGAGATTAGATGTCTATTTTGGACATTTTGGAGGTATGGTTTGGAGACACAAAATAAGCACTACAGATAATATTCACAGCCAGAATATGTCCAGGTTTTAACCATCCCTAGATCATAAATTCCTCATAAGGGATCCTATAAAATCTGCCTTCTTGTAACCATATGCCAAAAAGTGCTGAGTCCTTGTTGTAACCTGTAGTATTTCTGCCAGAAAGCCATTACTGCATCTCTTTCTGTACTTCAGACAGTGTTTATAAGGGCCATTCATTCATGAGGACAACAAGCTGGCCTTGAAGGATTTTAGGTAGTACCGATAATGAGTGGTGTGTGTGGTTTGTCTCTTTTTTAAACTACCATTCCACTCTTGATTGAATTAGTCAGTGCTTTTTTTCTAAAAAAAAAAAAAAAAAAAAAAAAAGGTGCCGGAACTCACACATGTCATACAACCCGCCTTGCCTACCCTACAAAGTTCCATCCCAAAAAGGTGCCGGAACTCCGTTCTGGGTGTTCTATGAGAAAAAAAGCCCTGGAATTAGCTATTAGATTTCAGTCCATACCAGTATACCTGTGTGGAGTTTTTGCTATTATAAATTAGGTGATCCAGTTTCCTATGGATCATTCTACTCAAATGGTCCATAACTAAGTTTTATATAATGGAATAGTTCCTGAATTGACTAAAAACGTCGCATCTCCAGTCTCAAGCTCAAAATAGACTGGAACATTAGTCTCATCAAGGTTGGACATTAGTCTCATCAAGCAGAAGCTAAGAGTTAAAATCAGTGAAAAGCACTTACTTTCCAGAAATATACATATCTCTAGATGTCCATCTGCTTTACTAATTTAAGGGAAAGGATGCTGTAAAAACAGGTGAGATTTTAGACACTTATGAGTACAAATTTAATCTATTTGCCATTGATGCATAGTAAATCATACTAAGCTGTCTATCATGTCTCAGAGAAGTGGGAGAAGCTATGAAATTAGTGTCTCGTCATTAGGTCCTATTCTAGCATTCAATTTTTCCCTATTAATGGTGAGTGCTGTCCAGTTATGCCTTTTATGCACTGCCAGTTGCACACACATATCTTCTGATAACAACTCAATATATTTATTGCGGTCATAAATCAGTACAGTAACACAAAACAGGCTACAAACTCAATGCTTTCGGCATAGGAAACAGGCCTAAGAGCTTACTTTAGCAAAAGTATTTGGAGAATCTGAAGTTCAGGAAGACCCAAAAACAGTCTGCTTCTAGTCCAAAATTCCAGATAATCTAATCCAGATAATATTAACAGACTCAATGTAGTCAGGAAGTGAAAAGAGACGCCTAGACCAGAACCATTTTTATTATGAGTTAAGACAATACAGCATTTTATTGTTTCCTGTGCACCAGGTTGGAAGAAAGTTATTTTTTTCTCCAGCCTTTTCTGAGAAAAGCCTTTGTGGAGGAT